TTTTTTTTTTTTAAGTACAAGGTTCAACTCACTCATTTGTAATATCAGAAGTAGAATCCATCAAATATACATTTTAATTTAAATCAGCTTCTTTTATTTGAAGCAAAGCAGCAAGAGTTCACTCCGGACATTTTTAGAGAAATGTAACATTCAATTCTGTTTATTTATGTGGCACCAAGTCACAGCAGAAGTCATCTCAGGGCACTGCACAGAAACATACATATATATAAAAAATAAGTTAATAACATTAATTATCAGAGGAGCAGACTGCTTTGAATTTAACTTAATCACAGACTCATTATGAGCAAGCATGAAGGTGACAGTGGAAAGGAAAAACTCATTCATGAGGAAGAAACCTTTAGCAGAAGCAGGATCAGGACGAGCGGCCATCTGCTTCGACCAGCTGGGTTTGAGAGGAACAGATACACAATGGCAGGTCAAGAATCACATGTTAAGATAGAAATAGTATCAAATTAAAACTATTTGTGCTCCAGTAGTCTGAATCTATAGCAGCATAACAAGACAACCCTAACTATAGGGTTTATCAAAAAGGAAAGTCTTAAGCCCAGTTTTATAACTGGACAATGTGTCAGCCTCACAGACAGAAACTGGAAGTTGGTTCCACAAGAGAGGAGCCTGACAACTGAAAGATCTTCCTCCCATTCTACTCTTTCAAACTCTAGGAACCACGAGTAAGCCTGCAGTCTGAGAGCAAAGTGTTTTGTTAGGAAAATATGGAACAATAAGATCTGTAATATAAGATGGGTTGTTGAGGGTGTTGTAGGTTAGAAGTAAGATGAAGATAAAGATGAACGTGTTCATTTTGTTCTTTTCTCCTTCACATATTTAGATTTCCAAATACACACACACACACACACACACACGTCTATTGACGCAGGCTGAGGAGAGGAGACAGGCATCACCTCTGCTTGGTTGTAGCGTTTATGAAAGCCATAAATGGCTCTTTAATATAGTGGTAATCAGGGTGGTAATTTGGGTGGAATTGTCCCTTATTGTTGCCAGACATGCCTACTCCACTCCTGCCAATATACACTCATGCTCTCACACACAGATGAACACACACGCGCGCACACTCGGTCTTGGGCAGACAGGGTGTTCAAGGAGTAATTCACACCACATGCCAACAAACTGGGCGGTTGTGTTTGTCTGCGTGTATGTTTGTGCCTGATTTAATGCTGAGGTCAAACTGGTGAAGAGAGGGAGGAGGGGGGTTCCCAAGATTTTTCAGTTAAAATTCATATGTGTGTGTATGCGCACGTTTATGTGTGTGTTTTAATTAAGCTCTCGGCGCAAGTAGCAAGTGTGCTCGATACAGCTGGTTTTCATCACTCCGGCTGCGCACAGGACTTCTCTTTCTTTCTCAGTCCAACGTGTCCTTTGTGTTCTTTTTATTTAAACCTTAAAACTCTACCCAGTGTGCCCAGTTTTCTACTTTGATGAATTTGTCCAACAAAAGGCGCTGTTCAGTAAGAGTGCGCTGTTTTACAGTGGTCTGCGGTTGTGAAATGACAAACTCTTGCAGGTTTCTTCTGGTTGAGTAAGAGCTTCCATGATAAAGAGTAGCTCTCGATCTGGCCGTTAATTTGCACACACACATGCACATGCACACATACACAGGGACTTTCATGAATCAATATTTACTAAGGAACCTTTCCCTTTTGAGTCAGAGGAAGCAAATGTGCATCCTGCTGTCTCCCCTCTGTAACCCTCTCTGTCATGAGGTTGTGCTTGTATTTTGTATGCGTGTGTGTTTGTGTGTGTGTGTGTGTGTGTGTGTATGATTTAAACTTAAGCGCAAAGCTACTCTTCTGTGGGAGAAGGGTGTATATGCATAGTTTTTTTTAATATTCCAACAAAAACACCTGCTTCTTATGAACTGATTTGTCTCGATTGTAGTGCGATTTTCTTTTTAACACAAAGATAAGCAACACAACAAATTAAAGAACGGTTATGGGAGCTGGACAGGACAAAACCACTGAGAGAAGGAAGTAGCAGGAAAGACAAAAATACGCTTAGAATGCACGAGATATGGTTTAGGTTGCAGGACTGGAAGGATAAAGTATCAAAACTAAAGGGCGGAGTGAAAGAATGGAAAGGGAGCTGGTCGGTTATGGTGCCACAGGTTTGGAAGGACAGCGCTGTTGGGCAGACTGGGGAGAAATGGTGGGGGGAAGGAGGAGGAATGAGAAGGTGGGTGATGGTTAGTCGCAGCTCTTCAGGTCTCATCAGGGCAAACGGTTTCTGCATCAGTGTGACAACAACACAAACATAAAGGCAGGCTGACATACTTCTGCCTCGGAGAATGTGGAAAACCCACTTTGCACCCTCCTCTGCAAAGAGATGAGGACAAGGAGGAGGAAAGACACTTAAGGAGTGGGTGGGGATACAAAAGAAACAGAAAGAAGAGTTTGGAATCAAAGAGGGTTTTGAATGAGGCAAATTTAGACACCGAGTCAGAAACGTTGGGATACGGAGAGCATCCAGCCTGAAAGTGAACGATCAGCTGCACATGCTGCACATTTTATTGTTAAAATTTGAATAACAAGGTGCAGCTTTAAAAGGTTGCTTTTTTGAATTGCAATAATACGTCTCTCAAAATGACTGAGTGCACGATAAATGTCTGATCACCCCCTTTTTTCTCCCACCGTAGGCACTCCAGGCAGCCAGACAGTTCCTCCTCCAGCAGGCCTCTGGACTCAACTCCCCTGGAAGCAACGAGGTCAAACAGAGCCCTGTGCAGGTCAGAGCACACAAACACACACACACAAAAGATGGGTAACCTAACTGTTGATTTATCCAGATCTGTGTATTATTAAGCCACCGTCCCTTTCAGCATTGTCTTTCACCCAACCTGCCACGTCAGCTGCAGTGATTGATTTACTTTCTTTCCTTTTCTCAATCTCTGTCTGTCTGCGTGTATCTCTGCCTCGCTCCCTAAGAGCGCATATGCTTGTGTGTAGGTGTGTGTAGGTGCATGTGAGTTAGTTTGGGAGTGAATGAGGCCTTTGTAGTTTCTGGGTAGCGAGCTGTTTTCGGTGCCGAACAACACGGTGAGCAGAGAGTGGGGTTAGCTGGAGTGCAGGATCCCTACTGAAAGACACTTGAGCAGGCTACACACACAGAGAGAGGCAGGACATCACAGTGTGTGTTCCCATAAGAAAACAAACGGCTGTTCTTTAATTTCATACGGTGGGGCGACTGCATGAAAAATAGTACTTTTCAGATGAGTTTCTAATAAAATGAGTGCACCCATGTCTCTAATGGGGCAGCAAACAGCCTGTTTGTGGTAATACTCCTTATTTTAACATGCCAAATAATAAACAGACATGGTTCATCAGTGTGAGATAAGAAGAGACAGACGTGTCAAATACAGATGGAAGGCACAGTCAGGTAGAATGAAGGATTTATTGTCCAGTGTTTCAAACCAGTGAGGTGAAAAACTTGGATTATTGTGCTTGATTTAATGTCGCCTTTAGCTTGTTAAAGACAGTAGCAATATGGATGCATTTTCAAGATTCAAGATTCTTTATTTGTCATGTGGTGCGAATTAAATTGTGTACACAGGGAGGGTGTGCATCCAACAAACTATTAAAACGTAAAAGAAAAACAGTAATAAGATCTAAGAAATGAAGTAAGAAAAATGTGAATAAAAATACGCTAAGCACTAGTAATATAGAAACAATACGCCGAACAGCAGCACAAGCATGAGTCTGTGTGAGCAGATGAGCAGGAATGAACACAGCAACATGAAACAGATCAGCAGCAACATGAAACAGATCAGCAGCAACGTGATGTGATTGCTCACAGTGATTATCCTGGTTATAGATGCATGAGTCCAACAGCCTCAGGGTAGAAGCTGTTCCTCAGTCTAGTGGTTCTGCACTTAATGCTCCTTAACCTCCTTCCTTTTGCGTGGCGAAAAGTGTGTGTGCTGGGTGAGTGGGGTCCTTCATGATGCAGGTGGCCCCCTTCCTGCATCTGGAGGTGTAAATGTCTGTGATGGTGGGGAGGCTGACTCCAACAGTCCCATAATTTCTTTTGATCTTAGTATTATTTGGTACTAAAAAATTTTATTCTAGATGTATGTTTTTGTGAATAAACAGGAAATTGGACAAATAAAAAAGGTCAGAAATCATCATTTGTAAACCTACAAGTAAAGTCAGTTTGATCACGATTGACTGCTACAAAGAGCAAAAATACCAAAGAATAAGAGTGTCCTACTCCTCATGGTGTTTAAATGAAGCAGTATTACAAAGCTGCATTTAACACATGGCTTGGGAATCAAAATATTATAAAATAAATTGGAATATGATGCACATTTTTTTCTAGTTTGGATGAAATCTACGTCATCATACATCAGAAAATCACAACAGTTTTACATGCTCATATCTAGAAGTCCATAGTGATGAAAGCTGCTATCAAACTTTGCATTCAGATAAAATGCTGCATGAACAATTCACACCAGGAATAAAAACCCTTCTTAAAAAGAGCAGTTGTGTCCCTTTGAACGAGCGTTTTACACATAAATGGAGCAAAATGCAGGTCAAACATGCACTTGGTTGACCTGCTTCATTCCCACATTTCTTATACGGAAAGAGTATAACCTCCCCCTCCTTCTTTTCAAACACACACACATACAAATGCTGCTGCCTCTCCTCTGTGCTCTCCATCTCTGTCTTGTTTCTCTTGTTTGTTGCTGCCTGACCTGCAGAGCGTCTCAGTACTCTACGGGGCAGCGATGCGACATCTCTGTTGTCTGAGCTGTCAGCTTGCATGGCCTTTACGCATCCTACTAACACAAACACGCAAACACTGTTGGATTTGCATGCGTGCGTGTGTGTATTTCTGCTTGGTTGGATCCTCGCCGTTGCAAAGACAAGCATAAACATCAAAAAGCTCAAAGTGGAAGTGGTTGTTATTTTTGTACCAGCAGCACTTGTTGTTTATCAGGCTTGTCAAAGTAAACCTGGCTTCCAAGAGAAGACATCTTTTAATCTGTGTAATTTCCTGCTAAGTTGTAACGGCAGCATCATTAGGTGCAGCTCTGAATGAGTGCAGCAGACATTTAATGTGGTCATTTCTACAGGTGACAGTAAGCCACTGCACGGCCCGGTGGCTCACATCTGGATCAAAATGGCCGCCCCTCAGGTTGCTTCCTGCTGGGCGCTCTCACACATGCAAATGAGCCTCAGCCAATAATGAGATCTTTAGGAGCTCGATAATTAGATTTCCCCCTTCTCTCTGAGGGAGAATGACGAAGACAGACAGGGCAAGCGGGGAAGGCTTCTTTTTCGTGTCTTGACTCCTCTGGAGAAACCTCGGTGTGCGCTGACATGTCTCCCCCCACTCACCCCTCCCAAATCATATTCCTTTTCTTTATTTATAATAGAAGGGAGGATTTGAACGGAGAGCAAAAGAAACTCAGAGATTGTATCTGCTTTTTGATTGGTCGCTCAACGATGGCGTCTGTGTTTGGCTGGCTGCGTGACATGGTATCAATGTAGTTTGTGAGCGTGCACGCGTGCGTGCGTTACGCTGCCATGTGTCAGGAGAGATTCAATAATGGCTTGAGAATTTAGATGACAAGAATAAATGATCGTGCGCTATGAAACTGGTGCTAAAAGTGCTGATAAGAATAAAATAATTGGCTCTGTAAACAAAAGCAGGATTTTAATTGGAGGAAAAACGAATTTTCAAAATGTTTGGAGACTAAACTGTTTCTTCACCTGGCTGAAAATGGAAAATATATATGTAGTCTATCCTGCGGGATCCACGAAGTTCTATCTTATCTTATCTTTACTATTACTGTCTCTGTTTTATATAATCTGTGGATTATGAATGAATACACTCACTCTGTGGATTTTTGGATATGTTCACACTTGGGGTGTTTTCACACCAGCCCTGTTTAGTGCGCTTTAATCGAACTCTAGTCCGTTTGCCTAGAAAGTCCGATTCATTTGGGGAGGTGTGAATGTGCAATCCAGATGCGGACCAAAAATGTGAGCGCTGGTCCGCCTAAAAACCTAGGTCTCAGTTTGGTTCAAGTGACCTCTAGCGCAGCTCAAATGCATATGTGGATGCAAGTGGAACGGAGACCGCTCCAAAAGCAGGAAGTGGACTACAGCGCAGGGCATTCCTGGTAAATACAACCAAAACAAACATGCATTTCTACCACTAGCCAATTCTACCACCACAACGCAGAGGCCATTGTTGAAAAATGTTTGTTTGGCACATGTGCCACAGACAAAACAGAAATCCTAAAACTGCTAAAATTTGACGCCGCTCCACTTTTGTTTATATTTCCAGAAGAAGTAAGTTGCGCTCAGTGTCTTCAGAGGTTTACTTGTCGTTTCCTTCAGTAGTTCTTGGTGCAGCATCACTACAGGCAAGGGGGGTACAGGTTGCTCAAACTGTCCAGATGACCTGACTGAAAAATGTTGGATTTTATACCTGGATTATTGAGCATGGACTTTTGTTGTTGCTCAAAGGGTTTGGCTCGATTGACTCAGTTCAGCGTGAATGCGAACTGTACCAGCTGCAAATGTAACAAATGTTCCAATTTTGGTCCCCGATTGAACCGAGTCTACCAGACTATCAGGTGTGAAAACACCCTTAAGGGGTGTGTTTGTTGTTAGTGTTGGATGTAATCGTCCCCCGTATTGTTTGTGGGTGCTATTGAGAGAATGGGTGGGCACATAGCTGGCAGACAAAGTGGCAGTTTATAGATTACACAGCATGTTACATGCCTCCATGACCCGTCACATTTCTATACAATGGACACAATTGGCAGACGCTCACACACATACACACACACACTACAAGGGCACAAGCTGACACATATGCACCACTTGGCAGATGCATGCTTGGCACACTTCAGGCACTGGCACTTGGCACACACACATTGAGATTACAGCCCACACTTGGCTGCGGCCCATATGTATGCAATAGTGAGGTGTCCTGTTTTCATGTATTATTGAGGCGCTCGTTTAATTAGGGAAACAATTAAAAGGCTCATTAAAGTTATGTTAATTAGCCAGGGCTTCCTGTCCTGCTCTCTGGAGAGTGCTTACACGGGCGAGGTGGGATGAATGGAGGAAAAGAAGAAGCTGCCAAATAGAGGCAAGAGGAGGAAGTCGAGTCTTTAAAAATGTCTAAATGGAATTTTCAATCCAAAATCAATGAAATTCAATGAAGGAATCCAAATTGATTGGATTTTGTTCAAAGTTGCTGAGACGTATAATGTTTTTAAAAAGGGGGTGTTGGCATGTTTAGTGTTCTAGAACCAAAGAAAAGTGTTTAAGGGTGCATTCACACAAACCATGTTTAGTCCGCTTTAATCGAACTCTAGTCCATTTGACAAGGAAGTCCGGTTCATTTGGGGAGGTGTTCATTCAACCATTATTTAGACAGGTTAATCCCATTGAGCCTCGAGGACTCTTGTGAATGTGCAACTGAACTCTGATGCAGACCAAAAAAGCAAACTCTAGTCCACCAAGACACCTAGGTCTCAGTTGAAGTGAACTCGAATGCGGTTCGAATGCATTGTGAATGCAAGCGGACCAGAGACCGCTCCAAAAGCAGGAAGTGGACTACAGCGCAGGGCATTCTGTGTAAATACAACCAAAACAAACGCACATTTCTCTTACCTCTTACGGAGCTGACTCAGCTGCCTTGTCTGAAAAGCAACATTCTCCATGGTTTTCTGCCTCATCTTCCACTCATGCTGAGTCCATTGTTGAA